TCATCAGGTGGGAGATGGGGGTGATGGCGGGGGCCCGGGGCGCTGCTTGGTATCGCCGGATAGGTTGAGGCTGACTCCTACGACTTTGGCATCAGCATCTGTGTGGTGGTCAGGTGGTTTTCTGAGATGGGCGAGATGGGGAGGAACAGGAACGCTGGGGTAGGGAACCAGGAGTTTCACTTTGGACGGTATGATGTGAAGAGTCTTAATCATCCAAGTAGAGACGTCAGACAGACAGATGGATATGCGAGGCTGGAGCTCAGCAAAGAGCCTGGGCGGGGACTGGAAGTTGTGAGTTGTCAGGAAGAGGATGGCATTAATGGCCAGATGGGGCTTCTGCGTGGCCATTAATGCCATCCAGGCTCCAGGTCGAGTGGAGGGATGTGAGGGGTGACATGAAGGTGCAGGGGTAGCAAATGGTTGTGTTGGAAGAGTATGTTGAGATTTCCAAAATGCTTTGTGGATCATATTTCTCAGGCCTCAGAACCATCCAGTGGAGAATTAGATATTATTACCCCCACTGTGTAGATGAGAAAACTGAGTCCCTGAGAGAGAAATGACTTTGTAACAATGACTGCCATTTAGGGAGGACCATGTAAGTGAATATAAGTCAGCCTAAACTTTCTACACATGTTGTCTCATTAATTTCTTTAATGGCCCCTTTAGGTCAGAATTATTGAGGTGACACCTGAGGAAGGTGAGGCTTAAAGAGGGCGAGGTGCCTGCAGTCCCATGATGTGTGAGGAACGAAGTTAAGTTTCTGGCTATCTACAGGGCCTGGGTCTTTCCAGGACACTGTGCATTATCACCCTACAGAGTTAGGGAGAACGAGGCTGGAGGGAGTTGGCTTTCCCCAAGTCACAGAGCAAGAAGCAGGCAAGAGGGCCAAGGTCAAGCCCCCAAGGTTCTCAGCTGGAAGGGGCCGTGGCCCTCCTCTGGTCTACCCTGTGCACTGTTCTGGGCAGGTGGGGGTGCAATTTTACCCAGATTGCCCTCAGGACAGGCGCTCACTGCCTTCCCGGGGGGCTTATTCCTCCACTGGGCAAACTGACACAATCGTGTCCTCGTTTTGAACACTGTCGGTCACAACATAATTCACGTGGTCTCCAGACCCCATCCCTTCCTGTCCTCCCCACTCTGGACTGAACTCTAGGCTGTCCATGTCTTAGAACTGGTCATAGGTTGTCAGATCAGGGATGGCCAGTGGGTGTCGACGTACACGCCGACACCATTCCAGTCGTGGTGGCTGTCAGAGCAGGTGTGGGGGCCTATGCCGGGGGCCAGGGGAGTCTTCTTGGTACGCAGGGGTGAGGCGCTGCACCTGGGCTGGGTACACTGCTGCTCTGGCCTCAGGCCTCCTCTAGTTCCTTCCCCCGAGCTGGCACCAAGCCAGATGGGAAAACGAACATGTATACTCCAGGTCACCTGTGTGTCGTATAAACCATGCATCTCAGCCTTTCTGCCCCCATCTGTGGCCAAGATCCAAGCTGCAGCAAAGGACAGCCTGCCTCAAACACCACGAGTCCTAGATATTACCTCATTCATTCGCTGAGAACTCGGTGGCCTGTTAGGTGCTTGCACTGGTGTGGGGGTGATCTGAGCACAGCAATGAGCAAGAATGAGTCTCTTCGCTTCTTGGCTTCGGTGGGGTGTGCTAGCCCTCGTGCTAATCTTTCTCACAGGTTAGAGACTGAGCAGATGATACACTGAATATTCTGGCAGGGGCCCTTTCCACCACTAGCATTTCTGCACTCTCAACTTCTCTGCTGTCTGACTTGGTAGTAATGCGCCCCCAAGTGGCTTCAGATGGTACCCTGACTTTAGATTGTGGAGAAATGGGGCCACCTACTGGCCAATCCAGTCCTGAGCCAGCTCACTGGTCACCAGAGTCTTCTCTCTCTCTCATTCTTTAATTCCCCTAGTCAACAAACATTTAGTGAATGTCTTCCATGTCCAGGCACCTTTCTACATGGGGGATACAGTGAGGAATAAGGCAGACAAGTGTGTGCCCTCTGCAGCCGGCACCCACTCTCTCTGGGGAGATAGACAGGAAGCTGACAACTGCTGTGACGGAAAGAAAAGAATGCAATGGGCTAGAGAGTGACTGAGGGAAAGGGAGGCAGGCTCCTTATAAGAGTGAGCAGCCAGAGGAGGCCTCTCTGAGGAGGAGGCGTTTGATAGAGACTTGAATGATGAGGAGGGGGCAGTCATGTGCAGAGGAAAAAGAGGAGGAAGGCCCTGGCCTGGTGGTTCAGTTGGCTGGAGCATCACACTGTACACCAAAAGGTCACAGGTTCGATTCCTGGTCAGGGTACATAACTGGGACCCTGCAGGGTCAATCCCTAGGTGGGGCGCATGCTGGAGGGAACCGATCAATGTTTCTCTCTGATATCAATGTTTCTCTCTCTCTCCTTCCCCCTTCGTCTCTCTCTAAAATTAATAAGCATGTTTTGGGGTGAGGATTTAAAAGGGGGGTAGGTACAAAGCAACAGCATGTACAGAGGACCTGAGGTGGGGAGTTCTTTTTGCGGTTCAGTAACAGGAAGGAAACCAGTGTGGCTGGATTAGAGTCAAGGAGTGACAAAGTGATGGGGGGTGAGGAAGCAGAGGCGAGCAGGGGTCTGGCTCAGTCAGGGCCACGACAAGGAGTTCGATTATATTACAAATGTGATGAAACCCAAAGGACATTTTCTGGTTCGATTAATATTTTAGAGCAGGAACTACAGTTCCACAGAACGCCCTGCCTTGGGGTCTGTGGGAAGAATTCAGCGGGTCCATGAACTCAGATGGGAAAACAATGATGTCTTGATGTTTACTGTCCTCTCATGAGGAGCGCAGTATTTCCTTCTATTATGAATATGGACAATAGCCGGCAGTGATGCAGCCGTACTTGGGCTTTGTCACCAATGGGACACACAACTACTTCCATATTCCGTATAGTTGTTGCAAGTCTCTTAAAATACTGTTTTCACTCATTATTGCTTTGAGATTACAGTCATTTCCCCTATTGCTTGATCTTAAGTAATGTGCTGATTAAAGGAGCCCATCGATTACCATGATCACAATTCAAAATACTTCTGATGACAATATATTTTATTTTATACATTTTCTAAAGAGATTTTATTTATTTATATTTAGAGAGAAGGAAAGAGAGGGAGAGGGAGAGAAGCATTAATGTGCAAGAGAAACATCAATGGGTTGCCTCTCGCATGCTCCCAACTGAAGACCTGAGCTGCAACCCAGGCAGGTGCCCAGACTGGGAATTAAACTGGTAACCCTTCGGTTTGCTGTACAATTATCCCACTGAGCCACACCAATCAGGACTATCCTTTTTTTTTTTTTAATTTTGATAAGAGACAGTAGGTTTTATGAGACACCAAAGAATTCAGAGGGAGCACAAAACCTTTATAACTTTTTTGGGTGAGATGTGTGGTGGATTGGATGAATTGGGGAGAGGATGGGGATGAGGGAACCGAGTTTATGGTCTGAGTAATGGTGGATGGGCTGTGGTTAAATTCTTTACTTGGACTCCTCACTGTGCGACCCCACTGCAAACTGAGCTTCATCTTCTCCACTCTTTTCCTCCTCCTGCTGATTCAGAGAGAAATCTGCAGACACCACTCTTTCAGGCTTTTGGGGGGAAAGAGGGTGTTTCACTGAGTGTCAAGCTTGGGAAAGACAGTAGTTAAATATTTTAATTAACAAGCTAAGGGTTATAGAAAATCAGGAAAACACTAGTAATACAACCTTATTTCTGTTCTTATTTGATTCAACTCAATGGGCTTTTAGTGGAAGCTTACCAGGCCCTGTTAAGTTTTAGTGATGCAAGAAGAATGAGACATGGGCCTTGGGAGGGTACCTCAATTGGTTAGAACATCGTCCTAATACACCAAAATTGTGCGTTCCATTCCCAGTCAGGGCACATACAAGAATCGACCAATGAGCCCTGGCTGCTGTGGCTCAGTGGGTTGAGTGCTGGCCTGCAAACCGAAAGGTCACCGGTTCTATTCCCAGTCGGGCACAAGCCTGGGTTGCAGGCAAGGTCTCCAGTAGGAGGAGCGCGAGAGGCAGCCAGTTGATGTATGTCTCGCACATCAATGTTTCTCTCCCTTTCTCCCTCTCTTTCTCGCTCTCTAAAAATAAACAAATACAATTTTTAAAAAAAGAAAAGAATCAACCAATAAGCCGTGACCAGCATGACTCAGTGGGTTGGGTGTCGTACTGCAAACCAAAGTGTCGCCAGTTCAATTCCTGGTCAGGGCACATGCCTGGGATGCGGGCCAGGTCCCTGGTTGAGGGAATGCAAGAGGTAACCAATCGATGTTTTTCTCCTTCTCTTTCTCCTTCCCCTCCCCTCTCTCTAAAAATAAATAAATATAATCTTAAAGAAAAAGAGAATCAACCACTGGATGCATAAATAAGTGGTACAACAAATCGATGTCTCCCTCTCCCTCCTTTCCTTCCCTTCTTCTGTCTCTAAAACCAATCAATCAATCAATTGATCAATAAAGAAGAACAAGACTTGGCCTCTGCCTTCTAGAGTTTCAGTCTAGCAGAGGAAAGTATAGGTAAGCAAACACAATGCATTGTGAGAAATGCAGAGTGGAGCAGGTGGGTACCGTTTTGTGGGACGTGAATTTTATACAATTTTCAGGGCCTTTTAGAGAAAAGGAAGACAAAATTATGAGACCAAAATTAGGTATGGGTTCTTGGGAGGGCCCATCGCGGTGGGGCGGAAGCCCAAGCTTCCCTCGCTTCAGGGCCAGTCCGCATGCAGGAGGGAGACAGCCATGCAGTTTTTATTGATGAGTAGGTAGGGGGTTGTGAAAGGGAAGGCACCATGGACACAGTTTCTAAGGATAGAGCATTAGGACTTCGAATCCCTTAAACTGTAATCTTGGATGATTAGCAGTAAGAGTGAGAAAGGTGAAAGGTCAGGAGCATCCGGGTACCCCATCCACTCTCCAAAGCACACAGAGACCTTCACAGGCAGACAGGGAACAGCCTTGGAATGTGGCAAGATGAGTGGTTTCAAGCAGGAGCCTAAAGGAATGTCTTCCTATGGCCTGTTGGCCATTTCAGAACTTAGGGAATTTAATGGTCAATTCATTAGAAAGAAACATCTGAGTCATTGGGGGGAAAAAATGTGGCAAAACGAATGGTTGGGAAAGCAGAACTGCTGGGCAGAAGTGACTGTTCAATATTTCTTTCTTTATTTGGACTAACTAAATGATGAAAATTCAAGAGATACAGAAGGTTTACAGTGTTGCCAGTTTCTGGTATAGTTTTCTAGGTCTAATCCATGTATACCCAAGCAGATACCTAGATATAATTTTTTAAAAACACAAAGAGTAGCACACATCATACCCACTCTTCTGCCTTTTGAGCTTTCTACTCAACAGAACTTCTTGGAGGTTGCTCCGTATCAGGGCACAAAGATCATCCCTGTTATTTTTCACGAGTGCCTAATATTTCATTGTAAAGATCTGCCCTGATGCACTCACTTGTCCCCTGCTGCTGCATGCTCAGCTGTTTCCACTCTTGCTAACACGCAGCTTGCAGTTGGGGCTATCCTTTTAGAGAGGCTACTTTGCGCAAGTATGAGTATATCCTTAAGATAAATCCCTAGACGTGGAATGGCTGAGTCAAAAGGTATGTGCATTTGTAACTTTGATAGACATTGCCAAATTACTCTCCCACCAGCAAAGTGCAAGAGTATTTCCCCTCACACCCTAACATAGCATGTTATTCACTGTTATCTTTGCTGATCTGATAGGTAAAAATAGTGTCTCGGTGCTGTTGTAGGTGTGTTTATCTTATTGTGAGTAACTCTGAATATTTTTTCATTCAGAGCTGTTTTTTTTCTTTTGCTGGGCAGTCATCAGACCTATCTGTTGACCAGATTACTATTGGGTCATTAGGTTTTTTCTTACTGATTTTAAACCGCTGTTCATATATTGGAGAAATAAGCACTTAGTGTTGAGTTCCTTTTATTTTCCCCCAGTGGTTCACCTCCTGGGACATTAAATTGGTCTTTGGAATAATAATAGCATTGGGAGGAATTGAGGAGCATGTGTCATCTTTCCAAGTTCTCAGAAGCAAAAAGTATTTTAACTGTAGGTAATATGCAGGGTAGGGCAAAACTAGGTTTACAGTTGTTCGTATGGAAGATACTACAATAATTAATAAGTAGTAATACAAGAATTAATTGTTTGGCGTACTCACAAGTGTAAACTTCTTTTGAGCCACTTGTGGTGGCTCAAACCCAGGTATGGAATCGGCTTTAGTAAACAGTGCCTGTATTCATTTGCTAGAGCTGCTGCAACAAAGAACAATAGATTGAGTGTCTTAAAAAACAGAAATTTATTCTCTTGCAGTTCTGGAGGCTAAGAGTCCACAATCAAGGTATCAACAGGGTTGGTTCCTCCTGGGGGCTGTGAAGGAAGGGTCTGTTTCAGCCTTTCTCCCTGGCTTGTAGGGGGCCATTTTCTCCTTGTGTCTTCACATCATCTTACTTCTGTGCGTGTCTGTCTGTGTCCAAATTCCCCCTTTTCGTATGGAAACCAGTCATAGTGGATCAGGCCCCAGCCTAGTGACCTCATGTTAACTTGATCATCTGCAAAGACCCCATATCTCAGTAAGGGCACACACTAGGGGTCAAGAGGTGGGGATTCTAACATATGCATTTTGGGGGAAACACAGTTCAACTGTAACAGTGCCGAAGTTTTCCAAAGTGGTTGTTCAATCTTCTGACTCACTATGTGCTGCAATACTCTGAAGTTCAGTCCAGACATGATACCATTTGTCTCGGGAGTATTTTAAAAGGAGAGAAGACTTGGTCTGATTTACATTTTTTAACAATTCTCTTTATTCTATGGGGATGTAAGACAAGGCAAATACTTCATCAAGAAAGAAAAGGTAAATAAAGAGTGAGCCCTCCTGGGATGGCCCAGGTAGGACACCCTGGAAGCCTAAGGTTGGGACAAACCTCCCAGGTGCCCTTAGCTCAGGTGTGCTGTTCAGAGACCCCCTGCTCTGTCCCTCCCCATCTGCTGCCTGGCCACCCTGTGCAGCACCCCTGATGGTTCAGGTGAGGCAGAGGGGCTCAGGCTGTCTTTCTGTCCATCCCCCTCCCTGCCAGGACATACAGCAGCTCCTCCAGCTCCAACAGCTGGTGCTCGTGCCGGGTCATCACCTCCAGCCACCTGCTCAGTTCCTGCTGCCGCAGGCCCAGCAGAGTCAGCCAGGTAAGGCCTTCACCTGGTGGCCTCCCTGATGCCCCCACAGAACTCCCCTCCCCCTCACCCTGGCTGTCCCCCTTGTCTTCCCAGGCCTGCTACCGACGCCAAATCTATTCCAGCTACCTCAGCAAACCCAGGGAGCTCTCCTGACCTCCCAGCCCCGGGCCGGGCTGCCCACGCAGGTGAGTGTCCCCCGAGCGCACCAGGCTGGGCCGGCAGCAGGGCTGTGGAGGGCTGGGTGAATGAGGGTGGGGCTGAGGGTGAGGGTCTCCTCTCCCTTTGGCCCACTCCACAACCACGGGGCCAGGACGGGTGTTGGGAAACCTGGAACCCAGCCCTGTTCTACCACTAAGTTGCTGTGGGACCTTAGGGAAGCCATTTCCTCTGTCTGCATCTTCCTCCGCAGCAGCGATTTTCCACAGGTGTGCTGCAAGGATTTTTAAAACATGCAATACTTGACTACTTAGGAGCACTGATCTTTTTTCTTAGATTGTCAATTTTAAAAAGATGACAACAGCCAACACAACGATAGCTGTCTGGTGTGAATGAATCAAAATTATACCAATTTTTTTTTATCAGATTGGCAAAAAAGTTTTTTTGATGTGCTGCAGATTTTTCGTAGTTTATGTGTGCCACAAGATGAAAAAGGTTGAAAATCACTGCTCTGCAGAATGAGGGAAGTCAACCAAACCAGTGGCTCTTAATCTTTCAGGCACATGGACTCCTTTGAGAATTTGATGGAAGGTTTGGATCTGACCCCAAGTACCCCTGACTGCACATGTGCACAAACACAGGAAATTTGGGGGGTTAGAAAGCCTTTAGATTCAAGTGCCTTGGGTCTCTTCCAGGACTCCAAATGGAGGGTCTCTGAGGAAGGCCCTGTTGGGTACTAGTTTGCACCCTCTTCCTAGACCACACACTGAAAACAAGGGCCCACAGATATGTTTTATTCAGCCTCTACCATATTATTTATTTATTTATTTATTTTTAGAGAGAGGGGAAGGGTGAAAGAGAGGGAGAGAAACATGGATGTGTGAGAGATACAGCAATGGGTTGCCTCTCGCACACCCCCAACTGGGGACCTGGCCTGCAACCCAGGCATGTGCCCTGACTGGGAATCTAACTGGTGACCTTTTGGTTTGTGGGCAGTGCTCAATCCACTGAGCCACATCAGCCAGGGTTAGCCCACACCATATTTTTAAAGTTGAATTAGTTGACAGAATTCCCAGAAAATGCCAGATTCGCACCTTTTCTTGACAAACCAGCAACCCTGGCAAAACTGATCTGTGTCCACATGGTGTGACGGCAGTTGGCAGCTGGCCACTGGCCGGAGCAGAGGTCCCCTCGAACAGGGTGTGAACTCTGCAGGCCACCTCGGCCTCCTCCTGCCCGGCCTCCGTGGTCTTTCCTGGTTTGCTGCCCAGGCTCTAGACTTTCGTAGTAATCTTTCACAATCCTTTACAGATTTCAAAGCTCCCTCCTACCCATTTTTGTAACAGCCCTTTCAAAAAAAAATATGAACTATTTAGAAAGCCCTAAAAGTTTATAGACCAATAGAGGGCTTAGCTGCAATTCCGAAATCGAAAAATGTTTTGAAATCAAGCCGTTCTTGTAATGTGGACACCAGAAGTCATTTGGCTGCAAAACCTGTCCTGACCTGATGCAGGGTGGCCAGTGACTTTTCTTTCTCTCTCGTGTGATTCAGGCTTTACTGAGAACTGTTAATGTGCCCAGTTACAGGGTGATGGTTTGACCCTGATGGTGGGGGGGGGAGGGGGTCACACCATCTATGATATATGCCCCATGTAGGCTTTCTACAATCTGAACACTTCTGAATTCCGAAACAGATCTGGCCCAGGTTTTAGATAACAGATCAAGGACTTGTGTGACCAACTTCTCTGCACCTACCATCTGCTTCAGATCCCTTGTTTTTAGGGAGATGAAGCATTTCAGGAAGAGCTATTGCTTCTTTGTAAATCCCCCAGTTGCCCTTTCCATCTGCTTTTTAATACTTTTACTTTATTTGCAACCTACCATTTTATTTTTTTAAAGATTTTATTATTATTTTTATTTGTTTTTAGAGAAGGGAAGGGAGGGAGAAAGAGAGGGAGAGAAACATCAATGTGTGGTTGCCTCTCACACGCCCCCCTACTGGCCCTGGCCCGCAACCCAGGCATGTGCCCTGAATGGGAATCAAACTGGTGACCCTTTGGTTCACAGGCTGGCACTCAATCCACTGAGCCACACCAACTAGGGAACAGTGTACCATTTTAAACCAAGTTCCCTCAACAACCCCATGGGGTAGGCAGAACAGGGGGAAACTGAGGCCCTGGGAAGTTGAGGCTGATGAGTACCCTCAGTTCTGTAGCAGAGACAGTCCTTGTTTCCTGTCTGAGAGGACTCACTGTCCCAGCTCCAGGAAAAGAGCTCGTGGTGCAAGAACCCTCCTTCTGGGGGTTTGCAGCCTGGGAGGGAATCTGCAGAGAGTTCTAGCAGTGAGAGGCCACACGTAGGGCAGCAGAGTGTAACTTTAAAAAAAAAAAAATTTATATATATATATATATATATATATATATATATATATATATATATATATATATTAGAGAGAGGGAAAGGGACAGAGAAAGAAGGGGAGAGAAATATTAATGTGTGAGGGAAACATTGATCAGTTGCCTCTCTCATGCTCCAAACTGGGGATCTGGCCTGCAATCCAGGCGCGTGCCCGGACCAGGAATCGAACTGGCAATGTTTTGCTTCTTGTGATGATACCCAACCCACTGAGCCACGCCAGTCAGGGCACAGAGTGTAACCTTGATGGAACTGGCAGCCCGGTGTCGGGGAAGGGGGTCTTTTGGGGGCCAGTGAAGCAGAATCTGCAGGAAGAGGCTGGAAGGCAGGGAGGGATGGAGGGGAGGGGGACTGCGCAGCCATTGCTGAGCCCCGTCCTGGTTCCCCCGTCCTGCTTCCTGCCCACCTGCCCTCCTCACCAGGCCGTGACCCGCCCCATGCTGCCCGACCCGCACCTCTCACACCCGCAGCCCCCCAAATGCTTGGAGCCACCATCCCACCCCGAGGAGCCCAGTGACCTGGAGGAGCTGGAGCAGTTCGCCCGCACCTTCAAGCAACGCCGCATCAAGTTGGGCTTCACGCAGGTCTGGGGCCACCTGGCTGAACCGGCAGTGGGCGAGGGGGTGAGGGGACAGGACAAGCTGATGGGTGGAGTGAGTCCAGTACCCAAAAACCCTGCCCTGACCACCACCCTCTCCCTGCCACACTGGCCCAGGGTGACGTGGGCCTGGCCATGGGCAAGCTCTACGGCAATGACTTCAGCCAGACGACTATCTCCCGCTTCGAGGCCCTCAACCTGAGCTTCAAGAACATGTGCAAACTTAAGCCCCTCCTGGAGAAGTGGCTCAACGATGCAGGTGGGACTGGGGCTCCCAGGTGGGTGGCAGGCACAGGGTCGGGGGAGGCGCCCTCTCATGCCCCCCTTCCTTTCTCCTCCTGGGCACAGAGACTATGTCTGTGGACTCCAGCCTGCCCAGCCCCAACCAGCTGAGCAGCCCCAGCCTGGGTTTCGACGGGCTCCCTGGCCGGAGACGCAAGAAGAGGACCAGCATCGAGACAAACGTCCGCTTCGCCTTAGAGAAGAGTTTTCTAGCGGTGAGGCCCCGGTCCTGGGCAGCCCTGAGGGCTGGTGGGAGAGTGGGCCTGGGCTAATGAGCCCTCTGCCCGCAGAACCAGAAGCCTACCTCAGAGGAGATCCTGATGATCGCAGAGCAGCTGCACATGGAGAAGGAAGTGATCCGCGTCTGGTTCTGCAACAGGCGCCAGAAGGAGAAACGCATCAACCCCTGCAGTGCGGCCCCCATGCTGCCCAGCCCGGGAAAGCCAGCCAGCTACAGCCCCCATCTGGTACCAGAACCCCTCGGGGCGGGGCGGGGGCACAAAACTCTGCCGCCTCCTTGTCCCTCAGCAGGCACCGTGCATGAAGCACAATCTGCATGTTTGTTCACAGTGCCTAGAACAGAACCAAGGAGAGTCACCCTTGCGGACAGTCTGTCACGTGGGTGGAGCACTGTCTCACACGGACACAGAGCTCCCAGGGAGCTGTGGTCTCATGTGGGGAATACAAGCACCCACACACACTGACACAGCCAAACAGTTATCACAGGACATAGTCACACAGGGATGGATACCAGCTAGGGGATGCAGGCATCCCCCCCACGGTGCACAGCCATACAGACAGAGGCAGGGACATTAGTTCATCCCTCAGTGTGCACTCGGGTCTACAGCTGCACACAGACCTGCTTGGGATCAGACACACCAGGACATCCCTTTGTTCCATCTAGCGTGGAGAGGGCTGTGACAACAGAGAGGAGCACCCTCCATTCCGTGATGCTGGGTAGCGAAGGACCATCTGAGCTGAGTCATAAAGGGCAAGAGAGAGCTAGCCAGCCCCGTGAAAGACAGGCAAAGGGACGGGGGCACACAAAGGCCTGGAAGCCAGAGTGTGTCCAGCCCAATTTGAGGAACTCCGGTACAGTTTAGTGTGGTTGGAGCTGGAATGTATTGAATTGAATGGGGGTGAGGGGGTGGGGAGGGACCAAATATCCAAGTTATATACTGAGGAGCTTGAACTTGATCTTGTGCAGTGAGGAGCTAAGGAGGAGTTTTGAGCTGGGCAGGGACAGGATCACATTTAGAGTGAAGCTTCTGGGGCCGATGGAAGGATGAGACTGGAGGCAGGGAGGCCAAGAAGAAGCCTGGTGGGTGTTCCCAGAAAACCAAGCCGCCGGACATCCTAACACTCTGAAGCAGAGACACAACTAACCCTTAACCCTCCGACACACCCTTGAGACCTCTGAAGCAGAGACACAACTAACCCTTAACCCTCCGACACACCCTTGAGACCAACAAGTGTATAGTGTCAGAGGAGAGGTGGGGAGCCCCTCAGTTGGGAATTATTCCCTCTTGTTGGTGGCTCGGGATCACCTGTGCTTCTCGTGAAGAAAGATGGTGGGAAGCACCTGGCACAACATGGAGTGTTGTCCCCAGAGCCCCCCTTCTCCATCCTGGGAGCAGAGGAGTAGGGGTCATACCCACACGGAGCACCACAGGGGCTGCTGGGAGACAGCGGCCTAACCATGTCTTCTCTCCTCTCTCCCCAGGTCACACCCCAAGGGGGTGCTGGGACCTTGCCGATGTCCCAAGCTTCCAGCAGCCTGAGCACAACAGGTCAGGGAGGGCAGAAGATGGTGGGGGAGGACACAATGCAGGCCTGAGCCCAAGGGTCTCAAGTGGCTCAGGGTGTCCATAGGCCTCAAGGCTGAGCCTGGGGAGGAGGGGGCAGGAAGGACAGAGGGGAGAGGACAGACTCACTCCTTCAGGCCAGCAAAAAGCATGGGGTTGCTTAAAGGCGATGTGCTTGGGTTCTGTTCCTGGCATTTATAAACTGTGACCTTTACCAGAAGTGACTTTACCTCTCTGGGCCTCAGTTTTTATAAAATTACTGTGAATGTATAATACATGCAGAAGCTATATGCATGCATATATACATATACATACAAGCGTCACACACATGTACACACTTTTGTACAAAGCCCTCCTTTACTGGGGACAGGGCATCATACACCACGCATAAGAATACTATCTTTAAAAGCCCACAATATTGCCCTTCCCCAGGTTAGTAAATAATAAGTGGAGATTTAAAAAACAGTAAGGGTGTGCCTGGCACTGTTCTAAATGCTTTACAAAGAATATTGACTCATTTAATCTTCACACCCATTTTATTATCCCCATTTTCCTGATGAGGGAACTGAAGGCCAGAGAGGTGAAGGTGCTTGCCCAAGGGCACAGGTAGGATGTGACAGAGCCAGGAAAGGCTGTCCTGGCTGTCTGGCCTGAGTCTGGGCTCTGAGCCCTCTCAACCGGCCAATTCCTGAGCCAAAAGCCAATCACAGCTGCACTCCCCGACCTGGCCCCTAGAGGGAGCCATGGGGCTTTGTCTTCTGGGTGCCCCCACTTCTTCCTCCCTCATTTCTTATCTGTATAAAAGGAGCCCTGGGTGAGGTTCAGGGCAGCGTACAAGATGTGCTAGGGTGGTGGCACACGCTGGGCGCAGCGCACTGGCTCAGTGAGTGACAGCTGCTCTTGTTTGATGACTGTGACTGCCGTTATCATGGCAGTGGCACAAAGAAACGGCCCTGGGAGGAGAGGGAGGGAGGCCTAAGTAGGCTCTGAATGAGGAGATCTTGGCAGACTGGGGGGTGGAGGAGGCAGGCAGGAGTTGACCCCAGGTTCCTGAGTGGAGGGCAAGTGGAAGCTGAAGTCTCCCTTTCTCTGTCTCTCTCTGGCAGTTACTACCTTATCCTCAGCTGTGGGGACGCTCCACCCCAGCCGGACAGCTGGAGGGGGCGGGGGCGGGGGCGGGGCCGCGCCCCCCCTCAATTCCATCCCTTCTGTCACTCCCCCACCCCCGGCCACCACCAACAGCACAAATCCCAGCCCTCAAGGCAGCCACTCGGCTATCGGCTTGTCGGGTCTGAACCCCAGCGCGGGGTAAGTGGGCAGCTGCAGGTGGGGAGACTGCGGGGAGAAGCAGGATCGCTGCTGCTTCCAGGGCGGGTAGCCGAGCCCCAGTTCTGCCGGTGGCCCTGCCCTTGCTAATGCCTCTGCTTTGCCTCTTGCAGAAGCACAATGGTGGGGTTGAGCTCCGGGCTGAGTCCAGCCCTCATGAGCAACAACCCTTTGGCCACTATCCAAGGTGCGTGCTGCCTCATGTCACTCCCATGGTCACCAGCCCCACCCCTGGGGGCCTCGAGCCCCTCCATTGCTGCTCCAGCCATGCCACCCTGCCCCTGCTCACTGCATTGCTCGCCTCTTCATACCCATCTCACCTTTGGGGAAAGTGTGAAGGCTGCTCACGGGGGTCAGTGGGGCTGATGGAAAGACAGGGCGCCGCAGGCAGGATGCTGAAAGGCGCCCCCAGCCCAGCCTCTCTCTCTCCCTGCCAGCCCTGGCCTCTGGTGGAACCCTGCCCCTTACCAGCCTTGACGGCAGCGGGAACCTGGTGCTGGGGGCAGCTGGTGCAGCCCCGGGGAGCCCTGGCCTGGTGACCTCGCCGCTCTTCTTGAACCACGCTGGGCTGCCCCTGCTCAGTGCCCCGCCTGGCGTGGGCCTGGTCTCAGCAGCTGCTGCAGCTGTGGCGGCCTCCATCTCCAGCAAGTCTCCTGGCCTCTCCTCATCCTCCTCGTCCTCGTCCTCGTCCTCGTCCTCCTCCTCCACTTGCAGTGAGGCTGCAGCACAGACCCCTGGAGGTCCAGGGGGGCCAGAGTCAGGGTCCAAGCCCGAGTGAAGGCCCGCCACGCCTCCCCTCCTACTCCTCTGACCCCCGCCTTGGTCCCTCGCCTAGAAGAGGGCGAGGAGGCCAGTGGTGGGGGCGTAGAGGGTCCTCGGAGCAGAAGTGACAAGGGAGGAAAGACCAAAAAAAAAAAAATCAACCAACCAAAAAAAGAAAGAAAGAAAGAAACCAACAAAAAGAAAACCAAAAATAGTCACAACAGAAACCAGCTGCCCCAAAGGAACCAGAGGTGAAAAACAAACAAAAAACCAAAAACAGACCAAAAAATCCCTCACAAAACTAAACAAACCAAAAACCAGTTGCAAGCCAGACCTCAGTGTGCTCACCCTCACCGCTATGACACCAAATAAGAACCCCCAGCCAGGGGCCGAGAAGCCTTGCAGGGCGGACCTCACCCGGAAACCCTGGCCGTGGGGCCAACCCACAACCTTGACTCCCCCAGTGGGGGCCAAAGAAGGAAAAAGAGAACGTGCCAGCCTCCTAGCCTCAGACCCCAGCCCTGGGCCAGTGAAGACAGGCCACAGCCTGGGGCAGAAGGGTGGGCTCAGAACCACCCACCAAATGTTCCTTTCCAGAAGGTGAAAGAGAAAGGGCCTAAACAACCTTACACCAAATATTCAGTAGCTTCATCCAAAGGATGTACAGAATTTTTAGCGTTGCGCTCAACAGAATGTGTCCCTACCATGTGTCCCTCTCTCCCCTGACCCCTGGTTCTCCTCACCCAGACAGGGGGGTCTCGCTTTAACCTTCTCCCTAACTCAGCCAGGGGAAAGTACAGGGGAAGGCCTGGGATGACTTATCATCCCCGTACCTCCCCCGTTTTCCTTTGAAGGTTGGGCTAGGCCATTTTGCCAAGTTCTAGCTCTCACTTGTCCATCCCCCTCACCAGGTCACCCTCCTCTGCTCTGGGATCTCCCCCCTCCCCAGCCCATGGGAAGGTGGAAGTTCCAGGCAAGGGGGGAACGAGGTGAGGGCATTCAAGTTGTCTTTTTTTCCATCCTTGTCTGTCAGTTTCCCTGAAAAAAAAAATTCATATTCCAGTGCCTATCCGTGGAATCCTTCACGTTCTTTGACATTGACCAGAAACCAAAAAGAGAACTCATTCACTCCCCCCCTATCCCGTGCCCCTCTGATACTGGCAGATGCCTCTTCCTCTCCCCCAACACACATGCAGACACGCACGCACCCCAGTGGTGGGGTTCCTCGAGATGGCACCCCCATCAGGGTCCATGTGGCGGGGACAGTGCCATGACCTGTGGTCCCCATCCAAGAGGGCACTGCGGTAACCAGTGCTCCCATGAGACTTCCCCAGAGTCTTGGCTGGATCCTGTGTTTGCTCAGCCCTAGACACATCTTGACGACGACGACAGACAGAGGGGAGACGCTGCTGGGAGCCACTTTGCCCTCCTGCTATTGTGGAGGCCAACAAAGTTTTGAACCAAAAACAAAAACAGAAAACCAAACAAACAATAAATTAAAACTAGAAAAAAAGAATTTATATATATATATATATATTTAAGGGAAAGAAGATGAGGACTCTTAAAGTACAAGAAGGAGCCGCGAGGCGGAGCCAAGCCCTGCCCCAATGGTCCAGGCCCTTGGTCCCCAAGGCATGGATGGAAGGACGGATGCTTCTTTCTCTTCACAAATACCTCATGGACGTCGTCTTCGGGAAAGCCGGAGGGGGGCGGCTGGGGCAGGGCCTGTCCCTCAGCCAGGGCGGATGGAAGTGGGTGGGCAGGGCTGAGAGAGGGTGTCAGGGACTGGGGTAAAGAGCTCCACACTCCCTGCCCCACCCCAATCAACTGAAAAAGCTTTAAAAAAGGAAAAAAGGAATAAGAAGACAAAACGAGTGGACGAAGGAAAACTAACAAACTTTCGGGTGGTTTGATTTCTCCTTTGATTTCTTTTTCTATTCTCTTCTGTCTGTCCTCTCTCCTCTGTGTCCTTTCTCTCTGCTCGCCTCTGTCTCTGTCTCCCTCTCCTTCTTCTCTCACTTTTCTCAATCTCGTTCTTTCTGTGTCTCTCCTCAAACCAAAGTGTTGCTGTGAAGGACACGAGCCATGAAGTCAGAGTGGCCCCGCCCCTCACTGGGCAGAGTGTAGCAAAGGGAGGGGAGCGCCCTGGGAGACAGTGCTGCTGGACACTCCGAGGAGAGGCAGGCAGAGCCTCGGGGGCCGCCCTGGGTCTCAAGGCCTCAGCGTTCTTTTTCTCTTGTCTCCTTCCACCTGGGAAATGAAACTGTTGGGCTGGGCCGCGGAAGCAGCAGAGACTCGGCTGTTGCGGGGGTCTGGGGTGCCTTGTCTGGGCAGCAATGGGGTGGTCACCCCTACGACCCTGGCACCCATGATGGGGCCTGGCCTGCCATTGGCCCGTCCTCACCGGAATGTAAGCATCTCCGACTCCCTGCCCTCACCCTACCTCTGAGTTTGTCCATTTTTATTTCCTGAAGAGAAGAGACTGTTGAGAGGGCCTGGGCCCCAGCCCAAGGGTGGAGAGGGGGGCCAAGGGCTCCTGAACAGACAGTAAGGACATTTGAGCAAAGTTGAAAGAATTACAACCAAAAACCCCTCCGAGAAGACAGGCAGCATGGAAGGCATGGTGGAGATGACTCAAACAAAAACTATGATTCTAGACCAAAACAAAAAAAACCAAAAACAAACAAAAAAAAAAAACACAAAAAAAAAAGAAAAGAAAAAAAAAGAAAAAATGGAAAAAAAAAAGGAAAAAAAATCCAGGACTCACCACCACCCACTTCATCCTGCTTTCTCCCCATCAAGTCCTGCCACCTGGGACCTCTCCCCAACCCCAGTGTGGGGGGAGTGGGGCAGACAGCAGAGGAGGAAGTAGGGGCAGGGATGGGCTGATGCCCTGACACTGGTGGAGGGACCCCCAATGCAGCTGGGGGTGGTGGGGACCCTCCCCATACAACCCCCATGACTGGGAAAAGAAAAACAAGAATAAAAGAAAATTCCTGGGTGGGGGAAAAAATAACCAAATCCCAAGCTTTAACTACAGCTGTGAAACCAAATATTGGGAAGGGGGTGGGAGGGAGGGAGGGGCAAGTGTGCCCCAGGTCTCCCCCCTGGGCCCCCTCCCCCGAGGACTCGAGATAAGGCACCAAATACCTCATAGAACTTTAATGTTAAAAAAGGAAACCAAATATCGTTGGCTGGGGGCCAGCCAGGGCAAGGGGCTGGGGGGCAGGAGGGAACCAGGGTTGGGAAGGTGATGGGGGAATTCATGCCTCCCACCCTCCTCTTGCCCCTTCCACTCCAGTCCCCCGTCTCGACTCCGGGAAACAAAACTATCTCATCGTTTTTATTTTGTGGTCTGTGCAGAGCCTGTGTCCGTGTGTCTGTGTGTGAGCGAGAGTTGGGGGGTTGAGGAATATTATGTTGGGGCTGGGGAGGGAGACTCCAGGCCAGGCTCTGGGCTAGGTGAGATGTCTGAGGTGAGGGGCCGGGGCCTGGGCTAGAAAAAGAGGAAGATGAATAGATTGGAGAAAAGGGGTGGTGAATTTCTCTTTTCCCCAACTGTGACCTCCTGCTGAGGGAGGGACAGAGACTGGGTCTACCCTAATGGTGGGCCTTTTAATTGTGCCAAAAAAAAAAAAAAAAAAAGCCAGTAACTAAAACATCTGTCTCTGTTCTCTTCTGGGAGAGAGGAGCTGAGTTGTAAGTGGGGGTGGGTGAAGATGGGTTAACCAGGCCTCTGTATGAGTTGGCGCTGAGATCAGGAGAAAGGAGAAAGATATGAGTGTCCCACACTTCTCCCTGGAGAGGGCCAAGAGAAAGGGTCTCTGAGCTTCACACCCAAGCCAAATAGGGGGCGACCTCCTGACATGACTAGATTTCCTCATCCACCCAGATTCCAGACTGCCTCTCTCCCTTTTAGCCCAGGGTAGGGGGAACTGAGTGAGAGAGTGAGACAGACTGAGCAAGACTGAGACACGCGGGCCCCCACTGGTCTCTGAGTGGGAAAGGCAAGTGCGAGAGATAAAGGCCTCCAAGACAAAAAAGAAACAAACCAAAGATTTAACCATTAAAAAAAAAAAAAAACCCACAGACAACTCCGCTACCTTTTTATACGTTGGGAAAAAAAGTGAAAAAAATTTAAAAATAAAAATTTTAAAAAAATACACAAAACAAGCCGCAGTTCCTTTGTGCGGTTTGAACTTTGACCTCAGCAGTCTCCAAAGCAAGATGACGATGACAAAGGCGAAACAAAAAAAAAGGAAAAAATAATGTATATTTTTGAGTATTTGTCCTTGAGATGTTAGCTCCTTGTTAAACACAAAAAGGAGAGAAAAATCCAGACAGAAGTGTTGCTAGGACGGAGACAACTATTTACTATGTCTGTGACCCCTCCCCTCTGCCTCCCTTTCTCTCCCCTCCCCTTTCCTCATCCCTGCTGCCTCTCCCCCAGCCTGTCCTCCAAGCCCAGGGGCTCAGTATTTATTTATTTATATAATTGCAGGGTGACTGGGGGCCTCTCTCAACAACTTGTAGAGAAGGCCTTTGGATCATGTGGGGAAGGGGAAAGGAGTCTTTGGGGAAAAGCAGGGCCCTGATCTTTGATCAGCTCCTCTCTGCTGGCTCCTTACTGGCTTCTTATCCCACTGCTGCCACCATCACCTCCCAAATCCAAGGCTGCACTAGGGCAAGGTGACCCCCCCCCCACGTAAAGATCTGATTGGCTCAGCCCTTGCTGGGTGGGTGTCTCTCACCTACTCATTTGAATGACCAGGTTGGAATGGGGATGGGAGGTGGCAAGTAGTGGGCATGGGAGACCAAGAAGTGGCATCCAAAAATTGATTAGGCCCTGGAGACCTGCCTTTCCTCCATTCTCACCAAGTTAGCCCCCCTTTCAGTTCTGTCTGACCCTGTGTTGGTAGCCCCTCCTTTCCCATCCTGTTCCCCCTTCCTGTCTTTTCTCGTGGTAGCGGGTTAGCGTTTCAGTGTTCTTAACTCCAATCTGCTTGTTCATTGTACAATGTGCTTCTTTTAAGGCCCCATTTTTGTAACTTGAGTGTGTCATTCATCTGAACAACATCAAAAAATAAAAAATTAAAAACTGTACAGAGAGAAATGATGCCTGCTCTCCCTTGGTCTCCTCTCTGTCCTGGGAAGGGTGGTGGGGAAAAGTCAGGGTATGGGAGGTGGGTATGTGTGTGCTGGGGAGGGGACGGCTTTATTTCTGTTCAGCAAATGTTCACTCAGAAGTAAGGCCTGAGCAGGTTTCTTTAGCCAATCAGAAAACCAAGCCTCAGAACTTAGAATGAATTCAAATTCCCAGATTCAAATCTCAGTTCTGCCATTTTATAGATGTGACCTTT